GGGAAGGGAAGGGAAGGGAAGGGAAGGGAAGGGAAGGGAAGGGAAGGGAAGGGAAGGGAAGGGAAGGGAAGACCAAGCAGCAGCTTCAGGCTGTTCTCAGACCCATAGGGCTGCAGGATGTGGGAACAGTGAAGAGCAGCTCTACTGCTGATGCCCCAGAGTGGAGCTGCGGGGTCAGCCCTGGAGTGGGGCTGCTTTCCAGGGACAGCRGGGTGGCCATGGGGAGCTGTCCCAGCCCACGGTGCTGCTGGGGAGGGGGTTACACGGGCTTGGCTTTGGAGATGGGCTGGGGGCAAAGCAGGGGATGAAGAGGGGGTTTTCTCTCCCAGCTCCTGGGCTGCAGGAGGAAGCTGGTTTGGCCATCAGGGCATTGCCTTGGTGGTGGCACCACAAGCAGGAACCTCACCAGAAGGACTCCCAGGAGCCTTCTTATCCAGCAAGAGAAGTGTGGACGCAGCTGAGGATCCCCAGTTTTTCCAGCCCTGCCATCTCCTGTGTCCTCAAGCGCCAGGTGAGGGGTTTGAGGGTGGGCTCGTGGCTTTGAGGGTTTGAAATGAGGGRCTTGTGATCATCAGCTGATCTCAGCCTTTCAATGCCCTTGGGCAATGCCATGGGAATTTTGCCCTGCTGTGAGCTTCTGCCACTCCTGCTCGCTTCTCTCTTCTTCTTCTTGATTTTATACGTCAAACTTCCTTGAAAATGGAGGAAATGAAACTACAGGGCTTTTYTGTGAGTGACGTGGGAGAGGTCAGCCTCCTTTCAGAGAAGAAATGAAATTTAGGAGGAAGGCAAGAAAATGATCTCCCTGGTCATTTGTGCTGGTTTCAGGAGTTTGGGGGTTACATGGTCTGGCAGAGAGAGGGGACCCCAGCTGGGATGTGCCTTGGGGGGTCCTGGTGTGCTGCACACAGTTCCTCTCCTGATTCTGCAGAATTGGTGCCATGGAACACATGGCATGTGGAGAATGGACCTGCTGATCCCACACAGGGTTGGAACCTTTCTCCATAGCTTTGAATGCTTTCCCAGCAAAGCCGATCTGGGCAAACTTGTCCTGCTCAGAGGCTGGATTTGCTGGGGTGTGTGAGGACCCTGGGAAAGGGGAGATGTGGGGTAAGGGGAGATATGGGGTGAGGCAGAAGGGGACCTCCCTGCTCATATTGCCTTGGAAATGTGGATCTTTKTTTCCTGGCAGCCTCAGGAAAAGCCATTTCTGCTGCCTTTCACACAGGGACCAGCATCAGGTTTGCTGAAATCCCCAGCAAACCCAGGAGACCCAAAGGTCTGGGGGCAGGGGTATACTGGCATCCCAAATCTCACTCAGACAATGCAAGGGACAGGTGCTGGCGTCCCGAAAAAAAAAGCTGTCGGGGACTCAACACCCGGACACATCCAGCCTTGGCTTGGGATGCAGCAGGAAACAGCAGCACCTTCTTTCTTCCCCTGTGGGACACACATCCCTTGGCTGGGCAGTGGAGACCAGAGGGGTCTGGAGGGACACAGTGGGAACGAGTGCCACACAGGGGTGACATTTCTCCACCCCACAGCRTCGGTGGCATGGCTGTGGTGGTGGCATGGCCGTGCAGGGCACAACCACCCCCAGCCAGCACCTCTGTGGCCCAAAACCCGAGCAGGGGCTCTGCCGATGGAGCTGTGCAGAGCAGTCCCCGGTTCCCCCCGTGCTCTTTGCCACCAGCCCGTGCCCCGTGGTTCCTCCTTGTCAGAGCCGTGTGTGAGTGCTGAGATCAGGACTGGGCCGCGCTCGCTGCCTCCATGTGACTGCAGCTTCCGTTGGCCCCTTCCGCAAAGGCTATATCGGTGCTGGGGGACAGGGCGGGTGGCACACGGACCCGGGGGTGGCACACGGACCCGGGGGTGGCACACAGACCCCGTGGGTGGCACACAGACCCCGTGGGTGGCACACAGACTCGCGGGGTCACCCCTACACCCGGCCCCAGGAGTCCCCCAGGGTCGCAGGATGGACCGCGCGCCGTCCCACGCAGTGAGTGACCAATGCCTCTGAGGGGAAAGCTCAGTGGGGGTTTTGGGGAGCCCCTGTGCCAATCTGAGGGTCTGTGGTGGCCACACGTGGTGAATGCCCACGCTGGAAGAGCTGTGGGTGCTGGGGCTGGTGTGAAGCGTCCCTTGGATGTGGGCTCTGGGTTTCCTGCCAGGGCTGCTCTCCTGGCTGGGCAGCTCCTGCCACAGCGGCTCCAGGGAGCACCGGGAGGGAGCATGGAGGTGCCTCTGGTGCTGGAAGAAGCCAAGGAAGGAGTGGAGGAAAGGGTGAGTTTGAGTTTCTGCACAGGGATTCAGGAGCCAGAGCCAAACCCAATGTTCTTTTGGTACAGTGAGGACACAGCATGGCCATTGTGCCTGGCTGTGAGGAGCTGCTGGAGACCCAGGGCTGGACAGGGCAGAAGGTGCTGGGTGCCAGCTGCAGTCTGGGGAAGGGGGGCTTCCTCTCCATCCCCCCAGAGTAAGGAAGACACCAGCTCAACCCTTCCAAGGAAGGGGACAGCCTGGGACATGCCCTGCTCCCTCTGTGCTGTGAGGCTCTGCCTACCTGGGCTGCCCAAAATAACCCCGTTTCTCCTCCACACAGAGGCAGCTGTGAAAGTGCTGCGTGCCCGACGCTCGCTGAGCCCTCGCTGCTCATTTGCCTGAGTTTCAGCTTCTCCCCAGATGCAAATGCCGTCAGCTCCGCTCCCACCAGGTCAGGAACAGGACAGCTCCTGCTGGAGAGCCCCCTCTTCCCTGGGAGTGCCCCAGCAGGGACGGGCACTGGGGGGAATTGGTGAGGGCTGGGTTGGTGTCCCCTGGGGGAGGGTTTGGTGCCAAGGAGGGGACAGGAGCCCTGCTGGGGGGACACCCTGCTTGAGGGATGCAGCTCAGTGGCCTTCACGAGCAGCTGTGCAGCACCACAGTGCCTTCCCCACGTGCACAGCCCTGGCTGGGGCTGAGCTGCCACCCCCGTCCCTGCTCTTCCCCGCCCTTCAGGCTCAAACTGGGGGAGCCCCACGAGTGGGGCTGGGGTGGGTGGGCTCTTTGCCCCTTCTCCATGGACAGCTSGTGGTGGCCCAGGTCACCTGGGCCTTTTGGGGTGAGTGGTTTGCAGCTTCTGACCTCCTCACCCGTGTGTCCCTCTCCACAGGAGTGCCGCCACTGAGATGGAGGCCCCGCTCCCTGGTCTCTCCCTGCTTCTGCTCCTCCTGGCAGCGGGATGGGGAGGCAGGATGGATGCAGCCTGGGCACCATCTCCTGGGGGCTGTGAGCTGGTAAGTCCTCTCCTGTGAACCCTCACCCTTCTGAGTGCTTGGTCCTGCATGGCAGAGCCCAGGCATACCCACACCTTCTCCACTGCCGAGGGGTTGACTGGTGTGCCAAGGCTACAACCAAACAGCCACCTCCTCCATCCTCACTCTGCTCCCCAGATTTTTCCCTCTTCACCTCCTGCCTCCCAGGGTGGTGTGACATATCCTCTTCCTTCAGGTGCAGAGCTTCATGGACTGCACTGGGAGACAGCTGAGCTCCGTCCCAGGGAACCTTCGGGGCGACACCGAGGAGCTGCTGCTCGATGACAACACTATCCGGGCCCTGGGCAATGCCTCTCTGCTCCTGTACCCCCGGCTCTGGCACCTCAGTGTGGCCAGAAATGGGCTGGAGCTCATCGAGCCCGGGGCCTTCCTCAGCAGCCCCGGCCTGCAGGTGCTCTCCCTGACAGACAACCTGCTCTTCACCAAGTACTCGCTGACAGCAGCTGCTCTTTCTGCCCTGCCAGCCCTGAGGACGCTGGATCTGGCTGGAAACCAGCTCACCGAGGACATGGTGTCTGTTTTAGTCTCCAACCTCTCTTCATTGGAGTCGCTGTCGGTGGCCAGGAACATCATCATGAGGTTGGACTCATATACCTTCACCAACCTGACACAGCTGCTGGAGCTGAACCTGGAGAAGAACTACATCTTTGAGATTGACCTAGCTTTTGAAGGGCTGCAGAGGCTGCAGAGGCTCAACMTAGCTTACAACTACCTCCCGTGTCTGGTGGGGTTCGACCTGACCCAGCTCAGGGTGCTCAACGCCAGCAACAACATCATCGAGTGGTTCCTGACCCTGGAAAGCGATGACCCCTTTGAACTGGAGGTGCTGGACCTGTCCCACAACCGCCTCCTGTTCTTCCCCGTGCTGCCCAGGTACAGCAAGCTGCACTCCCTGCTGCTGCAGGACAACAGGATGAGCTTCTACCAGCGCCTCCCCAATGGCACCTCCCTGGCCAACGTCACCGTGCAGTTCCTGATCATCCAAGGCAACACCACCAACATCACCACGGTCCGGCTCTGGGAYGACCTCTGCTACAGCAACCTCTCCTCCCTGCGCCTCCTGGACATGAGCCAGAACCAGGTCTGGGGCCTGCCGGAGGATTTCCTGGCCCAGATGCCCTCCCTGACCCAGCTGAAGCTCAACCAGAACTGCCTCGAAGTGTTTGAGCTGTCRGAGGAGGACTCCTTGGGCATGCTGACGGAGCTGGACCTCAGCCAGAACGAGCTGGTGGAGCTGGGGGTGAAGGGAGGTGTCGGGGACTTCCTGCCCAGCCTGCAGCTCTTCAACCTCAGCACCAACAGGCTGCGGGCGCTTCCTCCCGGGATTTTCACCCRCACCAGGAACATCACTACCGTGGACCTCAGTCGCAACCGGGTTGACCTCTGTCCCCAGCCAGGTGAGGCTGAGCACCTCTCCTGTGTGGACATCAGGGGTGTGGGGACCTTGACCCATCTCTCCTTGGCYGGCTGTGGTCTGCAGGGGCTGGGTGGCCGCCCCTTCCAGGGGACATCGCTGATGCATCTGGACCTCTCCGACAACCGCCAGGCACTGTCTGGGGACCTGGCGTGGCTGCAGGACCTCGTCCTGACCCTGCAGGTGCTGTCTCTGAGGAACACCAGCCTCTCCTCTGCCACCATGGACTTCTCTGCCCTGAGCAGCCTCGTGCGCTTGGACCTTTCCAGGAACTCCTTGGCCGCGTTCCCCGCCTCGCTGGGCGCGCTGAGGCTGCGCAGCCTGGACCTGCGGGACAACTGCCTCCGGGCGCTGCCGCCGGACGTGGCGCGGGCGCCGCTGGGGACCAGCCTGCGGGAGCTCTACCTCAGCCGAAACCCCTACAACTGCTGCACGCTGGGCTGGTGGGACGCCCTGCAGCAGGCTGAGGGGCTGCGTGTCCCCGACGGGCGGGAGGTGACCTGCAGCCATGGCTCCCACACGCTGAGCCCCAGCGCGCTGCCTGAGTCTGTCCTGCAGAGCTGTCGCTGGCAGACGGCCGACCTGGCGCTGCTCTACCTGGTGCTGGCTCTGCCCACCTGCCTGACGCTCCTGGTGGCCTTCGTGGTYGTCTTCCTCATGCTCAAGGAGAAGCTGCTGAAAATGGTGAAAACTCGGTGTGGGGTGTCCAGCCCTTACTGATGGCTGAGGAGGAGGAAGGGCTCAGGAATGGTCAATAGGAGAGGGTGGTCAGGATTACAGGTGACCTCCGAGGTGGTCAAGATGGAAACCTGATGGAGGTGCTRGGAGAGCTGCCATTCCTGCCCTAGTGCTACCCAAAGCATGAAGGGCTGTGTCTGGTGATGGAGCACTGGGGATCCTCAAGGAACATGTCTTCAGCAGAAACCTTCAGCTGGTGTTAGCAAGAGCTGAGTGGACACGACATCGAACAGCCACTTGGCTGAAAGGACAGGCTGCCCAGGAAATCTGTGGATACCCCATCCCTGGATGCRTTCAAGGCCCGGMTGGAYRAGGCTTGGAGCAATCTGGTCTAGAGGAAAGTGTYCCTGCCCATGGCARGGGTTGTAACCAGATGGGTTTTTAAGGTTTCTTCCAACCCAGACCATTCTGGGAATCTGACCGTTTTCTCCAGTGCTGTTTTTTCCCCCCTTCAGGCAGTTCCTTTTATTTATTCCCACCTGTAGCAAACTCAAAATGTCCTCCATATCTGCAGCCAGCTTCCACAAAGTGCCCCAGGCTGGAGCAAACATCACCTGGGCATTGTGGAGAAGGGTCTCTGCAGCCACAGCTTTCCACACTGCTCTTGCTGGCACTGCCAAACTCGCAGGCAGTGCCGGGTGAGCACTGTGTATGTGTGCTGATAAGATAGGTGYTGTCAGCAAGGCTCAAAGACACATTTTGGGGTGTTGCTTCTTCACTAAGTCACAGTCTGGGTTAGAAAAGTCCACAAAAAACAGCCCAACTTGCAACAGYGTGAAATAATGATTGAAAAGCAGGAGAGTAAATTATATCCCCTGGCGATACTTTATCATGAATTAATTTTTCTCCAGTGACTGTTGGATTAAACACACAAAGGAAACAAGAGAAATCCTTCCTCCTTGTTGTGCAAGCCCCGCTCCAGCGGTGCAGGGGGTTTCCATGACCCAGCTCTGGGCACAGCATGCCCCAGCTCTCCCAGAGCGCTACCTGGGGAAGTGCTGTTCTGTTCCTCGGGGGTCACTGAGGGGGAAAAGGAGAAGTGAGGGTGGTTTGTGCTAACTYGGAAGCCCTGCTGAGAACTGGAGCAGCTTTATTCCTGTGGAACCATCAGGATTTTTCCAGTGAAACATGTTTATGGGAATAGGGTGCAGGGAAGTGCACAGCCGTGTTGGAATGGGAATGTTGGGCTTGTCCTTGCCTGGGTGTGGGCAGGCTCAGTCGGTGATGTGGGGTGTGCTGGGGGCTCAAGCCCAGTGGAGTTGTCCTGGGAGGTGATGGAGGGAGATTCCTGAGGTTGGCATGGGGCCAGGAGGATGCTGGGGATCATGCAGGCAGAGGCAAGGCTGGCAGCACATCAAACCCCTCCCAGACAAGGGTGTGGGATGGGGACTGGGGTYGTGGGGGAGCCTTGTGTGGCTGTGYAAGGCTGGAAAATGGTGTGGGTCAGACCCTGCTAGACCAGCTTGGAGTTCCACTGGAGCCGAGTGCAGTAAAGGCTATGGAAACTGAGCTGTCAGATCTGGCTCAGAAATGGCCGCTTTCTGCCCCAATTTTAGACTGAAATAGCCAAAACCAAACTGAGCCCCAACTGGGGAATCCCTCAGCCTCTTTCAGCCCTTCTGCCCGTAAGCTGCACCCTGGGGGACAGCAGTGACCTATAAATACACCCCTGCACTGTCCCCCAGATGCGTTCTGGTGTCTCCCCGCTGTCAGGGAGAGTGGGTGCCCCTGGAGCTCCCCTCCCCTCTCCCTGGGGCTGGGGCTGGGCTCGGAGCAGGGATGTGTCCCCTCCCCACCACCAGCCAAAGCTGCTGCTCCATCCAGCATGGGGGGCAGGGTGCAGCTGTGGGAGAATACACAGGGAAAATCCTGGCCACCTTGCACTACTCAAGACATGGATGAAAGTGGGTGCTTTTAATTGTATAGAGCTGATGGGGATACTCAACATTCTCTCATCACAGTGCATRGAAAGCCAAGGCTCACCTGGAGCTGTGATGTGAACAAGATRTCAGGGCAACAAAAGGAGATTACAYTTTCAGAGCAGTGGATGTCCTTATAAAGCTGSTCTCACCATCTTGGCAAGGCCATGGTGATCTGGGAAGGGCCTCGGTGRTTAGAGAAACCAAGGTCCCACCCAGTTTGAGTAACAGCCAAAAGGATACCCCAGGGAGCTTCAGGGCAGTCACCTTCATGTTGGGAAAACCATGAAGATMATTTTCATTGTTTGGAGCACATTTATAGAAAAAGAGGCTGGCTGRAAGGAGTCAGCATGGACTGCTGAGGGTGAGTCCCACCTGCCCAACCTGCTTTCCTCAGGATGGAATGGATAGATCATGTAGTTAGAATCTTCCCAAACGGATGGATGGGCAGCCAGGCAGGTGAGGATCAGKGGGAATGAAGTGCAGAGGGCTGTAATCAGTAGGATGTGCTCTATGAGGAGGCTGCTGAGGGGGCTGTTTTGGGATCTGYCCCATTTCATGTCTTTATGTGTGATCTAAAGGTGGCTGTGAAGCGCCTTCCTGTCGGTTCACAGAGGATCCCAAACTGGGAGGACCAGTGGGGTTCTCTGCTGAAGGAATGGGGTGGGCTGGAGGAATGGACTGGTGAGATACTCAGGATCCAGGCACTCGTTTGGCCTCAGGCAGCCCTCACTGGTGAGGAGGCCATGCCCGGAGCTGGACACAGGCCACGTCCTCTGAGCCCAGCTGGGAGGAAGCTGGGGCAGGTTGGGAGTGGAGGAGAGGTCTCCACAGCCCCCCTCCCTCCCAAGTGGGAGATCTTTCTGTRCTGTTATGTTGCAATTGTTGAGACAAGGCCTGTGCCAGACCCCTGCACACCCTTTCCGGTCCTAGGAGCGCTGAGTCAGCCTTTAGATTTTTTTTAATTTTGGCAAGTGAGGCATCAGCTTCCATTTCTCTCCTAACTGAAGACCCCCTTGGCCAAGATGAGYTCCCTTGTCCTGTCTAGTGATGGCAAAGCATTGTGGTTTAACTGACACTTGTTCYATGTTTCTCACAGCTCTGAAAGTTTTGGGGGTAGAAGGACAGCTCCTCCAGCTGCTCTCCAGTCACTCCTCTTAGTTATCTCAGGCAGCAGTTTGCTGATGCCCCTCAATTTGGGATGAAGACCCAAATTTCACCCACAGCCCTCACAGCTGCYTGGGTTCAGAAAGCCAAAACCCAGGAAGCTTTTGGAGCTGTAAAATTTCCCAAAGAATCCTAATCTTAGTCCTCCAGTTCTTACACGAGAGTAGGACAGATCTAGCACAGACCAGCTGAGGCAGACAGAAGGATTAAAACCTTCAGTGGGATGAATAAAGGTTTTGTTTTACTCTAGAACCACCCCCAGTCTTTGACCTTCCACCATTCCGTTCTTTTTGGATTCTTTAACCTCATTTTCCCAGAACTGAGAACTTATGAGGAAGCATCATCCAGCAGTGTAAGGAACCAACCATCCCATTGCAGCAATTTGARATCATCATGTTTTCAAAAGTACTTTCAAGACGAATTAATTTTCAAGATATTCCTTTTCTTAAATGTAAGGATTTGTTTTTATGTAAGCTAAAGCTGGAGATTTAAGCARCGCTAGGGAAATGTGAGAGTAACATCCTCAATGCAGAGTTGATTTATCCAGAATGACTGATACATATTTAACTTCCCAGCAGTCAATAATAATCACCCTGTTTGTACAGTACAGCTTTAACAGTGTCTTCAGGACATGAATACTTAATGCTTCATTTTCAGCCAAAGCTGACTGAAATGTAAAAAAAAGAAAGATTAAATAATTCAAAATTCTTTTATGTAGCAAAAGACTAAAACCACCCAACAATTTCAGCTGCCCAGTTTCCATTTAATCAAGTCTGGCTTCTTCAACTCAAATGAAACTTAAAGCTTCAACTTAAGCTCACTTAAGCCTGGGATTGCTGTGACCCCTCAGGTTCTGCTGAGCCAATGTGATTCAATTCTGTGGGGCAGAAYGTGCACGATGGCATTGTTCTCTCTGCTGGGATGCTGAGATTTCTCTCTGGACTGCCCATCCAGGACATCTTTGTCTGGAATCAGATTTCTTCATCTGACTCCAAGTCCCAGCCACAGGACTCCAGCTGCTCATCCTGTGGGAACTCCACCTCAATGTTGTAAATGAAGTCGGGGTCATCCTTCTTCTTCCTGTTCTTTTCGAAGAGCTCATCCATGATGCTCTTCCTTTTAGCTAGTTCCTTGTCATCCAGTTTGTTCATATCCTCCTCTGGGTCAATGGTCTCTTCCTGCCGAAACTTTTCCAAGCTCTCAGCCAGGCTCTGTCCTTCCAAGTGACCTCTCAGCAAACTGTAGAGCTTCTGGAGCTGACGCAGAGRGACCCCTTCCAGGTAGGCCTTGTGCCGAGGGTTGTTCTTCAGCTGCTCAGCAGCCCTGCTGCAGTCTGGGGAGAGCCAACATGAGCAYCTGCAGCTGCAACAAACCTCTTTCCCCAGACACATCTTCTCTCAAACCCTCCCAAGGGCTCTCCCCAAATGCTCCAGGCTCAGAGAGCCACTGCTTAGGTTGAGATGTGGCCTTGGGCTCCTTGGGAAGGCAACATTACCCCAAAACAGCCCCTCCCTGCATGCTGCTAAGAGGATACTCAGTGGTTACTAACAATGCTGTTACAGTGCAGTGAGCTCCTCTCCACGTGCCTGGAGGGGACCAGACAGGAACGAATGCACCTCACCTGAGTACCTGGAGAAATTCCTGACAGGCATGATGCGCTGGCGAGTTTTATCCTGGCTGTTGTCTCTGTAGATGAGGATGATGGATGGGGGCTGGAAGCAGACCCCACACTTCTGTGCACTGAAAGTCATCRTGGCGTCATCAGAGTCCTCAGCAACAGCAGGGCTCCCTGGAAAACAGGGAAAAAGGAAAATAACTGTCAGAGCCTCTCACTGTTTTTGAGCAAAATCACAGAATTTAAAGTCCCAGAATGGACCTTACAGCACAGGGGAAATGAAATTATGAAATTAAGTTAAATTAGAGGAGACTTAAAAAATCTGAATCTGCTGCAGATCCTGTTTCCCAGATTAGTGGACAGCACTGAGTACATGTGTTACTTTTCATTTTGTTTTAAACATATGAGAATATGTCAAACGTGAAAGTGATCTCCAAGTGCCCTACAGACTGCCACAAGGCAAAATAACATATTTTACCCCCCAAAAAATCAAGGTATTTCTCCAAATCACCAAAAATCACATTAATGTTCTAAAGCCACTTTGAGGTGGAATTGGAAACTATTCTTCCTTTGTAAAAAATCTCATAGGAAAGAGTTTAAAATTGTAGTAATATCCTTAGTAGTGAAAATTTCCAAGGCCAGGTTGATGGGTTTGGAGAAATGTGGTGTAGTGGAAGGTGTCCCTGCCCATACCAGGGGGTGAACAAGAGGAGCTTTAAGGTCTCTCTAACCCAAACCATTCTGGGATTCTACAAAGATGAGAAATACAAACGTGAGCAGCGATTTGGATCTGCGGTGAAGAGGATCTGTCGGTAACCCGGGCTGAGCCCTCCACTGCTGGCGTGAGGCACAGCTTCCAGCGGTCCAGCAGCACAGCCGGGTGGGTTTTATGGCCGTTCCAGCGCCCGGTGCCCTTCAGAGCCGCTTTTCCGCCGCCCGAGCGGCCCGAGGGGCGCGGCCGAGGCCCGAAGCACAAAGGGCAGTGGGGCAGGGCGGAGTTGGTCCCTTCTGCTCTCCCGTAATCCCAGAATGGGCCAGGCTGGAAGGGACCACAGTGGCTCACCTGGTGCCACCTCCCTGCTCCAGCAGGGCATCCCAGAGCACAGGGCACAGGAGTGTGTCCGGACAGCTCTGGAATATCTCCAGGGAGGAGACTCCACACCCTTTCTGGTCTCTTTTCAGGGCTTGGTCATTGCCGTGGAAAATTCTGCCTCCTGTGCAGGGGGAGCTCGCTGGGCTCAGTCCCTGCCCATCCCTCGGGTGCCATCACTGGATCCCTCCACCCCGGAGCAGAGCCTGGGCCCTGCTTGGAGCCCTCCCTGCACACAGGGACACCCAGGGACACACACGGACACCCAGGGACACACAGGGACACTCAGGGACACCTAGGGACACCCAGGGACACTCAGGGACACCCAGGGTTGGGAACCCCTCTGGGCTGGGGGCCCCACTCGAGGCTCAACAGCCTCGGCTCCCTCAGCCTTTCCTGGGCAGGGAGACGCTCCAGGGCCCTTCCTCATGTCCGCTGGCCCCGCTCCATGAGTTCCATGTCCCTGYTGTACTCTCGCCCGTCCCCTCACCTCGGGATGCGCAAGACAGTGCCCCGTACTCCGCTTCCTCTTTTTCCTCCTCCTGCTCCTGCTGCTGCTCCTCCCGCGGGCCGGTCCCGCCTCYCACAGCGGTTGCCATGGCTACGGCGGCGCCGCCGGGACCCAGCGGCAAAGGCCCCCTCTGCCGAAGGCCCCCTTTGGGCTGCCCAGCGAGCGCCTGCGGGATGCGGTGCCGCGGAGCAGGGGGCGGACGGGCCCCGCGCGTTCAGGCGGCGCTGMGGGCAGCCCGCGCGGGCGGTGTGGAGCAGGGCGCCATGGCGGGCGGGCGGTGGCAGCCGGTGCGGCTCGGGGCCGGGCTGGGTGCGCTGCTCTGCGCCCTCCGTGAGTGTCCGCGGGGCAGCTGGCCAGGGAGGGATGGCGGGACCCTCCCCTCTGCTCTGSAGACAGGCTGGGAGAGCTGGGGTTGTTYCGCCTGGAGAAGAGAAGGCTCCAGGGAGTCCTTAGAGCCCAATCCTGTGCCTAAAGGGGCTCCAGGAGAGCTGGAGAGGGACTTTGGACAAGGGCCTGGAGTGACAGAACGAGGGAGAATTGCTTCCTACTGCCAGAGGATAGATGGGTTATTGTCAGGGAACTGTGAGAGTGCGGAGGCCCTGGCACAGGATGGCCAGAGAAGCTGTGGCTGCTCCTGGATCCCTGGAAGAGTTCAAGGACAGACCTGTAACACCCTGGTCTTGGGGAGGTGTCCTTGCCCATGGCAGAGGGTTGGAACAAGATGGGCTTTAAGGTCCCTTCCAGCCCAAATCCTGTGACTCTGAATTTGGGAAGTATGGCTCAGTATGAACCAAGAAACATCTTCTTTTCGATCACAGCCAAATACTGCTTCCCTTCTGCTGGGAGCAGTTTTGCCGATGAGGCGTCCGTGAGTTATAAAACTTCACTTGCTGAAGCTCTCTGTCCCTGTGATCATTGTGCTGTTACACTGTTGKCTCTGTGTCACCTTAGATGTGCAGGCGGCCTGTCGGGACACCACTGTCACACAGGAGCTCCTGAAAGAGGGGTTTCACAGGTGAGTCCTCACCCTCCCCTCCATCAGCATAGCATGCCACGTGATTTTCTGTGGGAGAAAGCTTCTTTTCATGTGTAGTTGTACCAACTCCCTGGGGCATGTATCCAGAATGTATTAACAGGATCAAGGGATTAACAAATTCTAGTGGAGGGAGAATAGGATGCCCCTTTCTAAAACTTTTGTGGAGGCCATTGGTAGTTCTGAGACRTTAACAAAGAAGTGAAACTTCCTTTTGGTCACGGTTGTGGAGTTTGGGGTGAAGGAGAGCATGGCTGGATGGGGAAGTGTGATCTGAATTAGTTGCGCACAGTGTGAGAGTTGCCTCTCATCTCATCTGGGAAATGTCTCCGGGGGGTCTTGTGCCGACTTTTGARGCGTGGGTATAAATGTTTTGCTTCTGTTCCTGTTTGAAGGGACCTGCTGGTGCAGGTAGAGCTCGGGGARGATGCAGGAGGATGTGCAGTGGCAGCTAGAACGCGTCTTCCACCGGGAATCTACGTGGATCCCTACGAGCTGGCGACGCTGCAGCTGCACAATCTAACAAAGGTAATGGCCCCAGTGCCAGGAGACGTGGCACTGGCTCAGATAAGGACTGGGGGAGTTGTGATATCTGGTCATTATCTGGCTTGTTGAACCAAGGGGATTAATTCCTGGAAGGAGGTGCCAAACAGTGTCACCTTCCCAGTGTCTCCTTGTAGCTCAGCTCGTGCAGCATCCCCTGGCCCTGTGCTGCTGATATTCTCACACACAGCTGATGCAGCAGGGAGCTGCTGCTCCTCTCTGAGCCCCAGGTGAGCAGCTGTGGTAAAAGGGTCTGGGGTGAGAAGGTGGAAGGGAAACCCCCAGAGAGGTGCTGGTGGGTTCTAAGTCACACCTTGTGCATTTTGACTGAGCAGCTTCCCAGCTTTTCATCCCAGCTTTCTGTCCTGCTTTACTATTTTTTGCTTCACATTTTGGGTAGAGAAATGTGCAAAGGCTGTGGCTTCGATCTCTTTAGGTGCTTAATTTGGCTGAAAAATGGATTCTAAGGCTTCAGAGGAGTAGCAAGGTGGAAAATGAAGATCTAACTAAAGTAGTGTTATTGCCCTTGGGATGACTGAGGTGCAGACCTGGCCTTGCTTGCACACACATCATTGAGCTGACACCTCGCAGGTTTGGCTGTAGGCACAGTGACACTGTAAGCTTTTCACATGTGGGAATCACTCACTGGAGGGGTCTTGGAAAGGTATTTTGGAACAGTTTAAGGCTGGAATTTCCGACTKGATCTTCCTGACCACAGAATCAAGMTCRGTGTTAGAAAACAGAATGGRTGAAATGTTTTTCCTTCCTTGTATTGATTCCAATCGCAGCCACGCCTGTATCTCTCCCTGCTTGCAGGCAGTGTTAACTCCTGATGTCGTTGATGTGGAGGCTCCTGAGTACTTGGCCAGGGATGTTGTTCTGCTGCTGTTCCTGGAGCCGGACGGGCGCTGCCCCCGCTGTTTCCGAGCTGCCGTGCCCGTGCACGCGCGGTACCACCGGCCGGCCGAGGGGACACGGGAAGCCTTGGTTGTTCTGGAGAGCCCAGAAGTGCTGCTCTGCTGCTGCCACGGTGAGATTCTCATTGATGTTCTTGGGCAATCCAGGGCTTGGAGTCTGTTCTGTGTGAGACAGAGCTCTCTGTAGTACATGAGGAGAAAGCATGGCCTTGATAAAGATCTCATTGTGTTCCTCACTCTGTGCTGCTGCCTGGCCAAAGGCAGGGGTTTGTCAGAGACTGCTCTGTGTTGTGCTGCTGCCATTGTACCCCTGTGCAGCTCTTCCTGCTGGAAGCCATGGCAGTTATCAYGACCCATGTTTGTCACTATCCCAGTAGGGCCTGGTTTGGCCAAGGCCCCTGCTCTGCATTTCCCTTGGCAGCTGGGGCTGTGCAGTGTGTATTTAATATCCACCGTCACCTATTTGGAGTAATCAGAGTGTTCAGATGCTTCCTAACGCTCTCCCTTTAAATGAAGGGGGACTGTAGGAAGCTGTGCCCAAAACTTGGAGTGGTCAGAGTCTCAGACTGATGAAAGTAGAACCTGATATGCACTGACAATGAATATCTTAAGTTAAGTGAATTATGAAATCCTATATTTTTGTTACAAATTTTCTGTCCCTTCACAAAATCACTCCTTCTAAGTCAAGTGCACTACTGATTTTCCACTCCTTTTTCTTCACTTGTGCATCAGTTGAGCAATTGAGTGTAGTTTGATTTTCTGGGTTAAGCATAGGGACAGACAAGACTACCTGGTCACTTAAAGGAGGGTGAAATCTTCCCGGTTTTCTGTCACATTTACTACTTATGAACAGGAAAATGTTTGTTATTAATGGGAAAGGATTTAAAGTATTGGAAGGGAGATCTTTTATGTGCTGACAGGAGGCCAAGAAGAGAAATGGAAGAATTAATTAYTTATTTTTGGCAAAATTCTAACTACATGGCTCAAGTTGAGGGATCTACCAGGAATTCTTTGTCCTGTCAAGGACAGAAGGGGCAAGATACCACACAGGTGAGAT